AGAAACAGCTGAAAGTGTTGGGGTTCGATATTGAATACACAATACAAAATAAGTCTATCTTAAGTCTTTCTCCTGTTAAAAACCTGTAAATATGATCTCGACCTAACTTTCAGAAAATATTCACCTTATCAAAATATGACGTCAACATTTTTTTACTTTGTCTATTATCAAGATGGTTGCTGAAAGCAGTCCGTTCATATAGCTCAAAATCTTCCATTCAGAAAGATGCTGAAGAGTTTTGAGCTACTTTTAAACTGAAATTTACACTTATAATTCTAACGTACTAGAACCGCTCAATTGAAAAAACTGAGCCGATATACAAAAATTCGACTCTTGTACGTTGTAATCAGAATTGTTAGATCCAGTTTAATACCATCCTGAACAGCATGTTTCTAGACCGAGGAAAAAAATAGAATTTGAAGAGAAAATGTTGTGTGTTACGCAATGTCTTATTTTGACGAGAAAAGCCTACTCCGTTGATGGTCAAATTCAAAGAAAATTTGGTTGAAACCATACAGAGAAAAACGTCAGTTTCCCAAGATCTCTTTTATCACGATCCACGGAAAAGATTATCCCGTAAGCTTTAATCTTTTGCTTGTAATTATGCTACAACTTCAAATGTTTAATTCTTGAGATCATCCATCAAATCCGAACTGTATGGATGAAATGACTAATAAAAAATATTTGGGAATGGCGAAATAATTTAAATTTAAAATTGAGAGGATATCTTAACCTAAAACTCGGTTTATAATTCTTTCTTTTTGATTTTGATTTAGTGACTAGATGTAAAACATAAACTTACAAAAGAACTTTAGAAACAAATAAATTCAATTTCAGTTTGATCGATGTTTTTGTAAAGAATAAGTTGTGAGTTTAAGGAGAGATACTAAGCTAAAGTTTGACGTTCAACCAAGTACTTATACTATCCATGAGGTTTTGGTATCGTTTGAAACGGTGTCTAAACGCGTGTAAACAACAAAATAATAGAAACGCGCTTCGTATTATACGGCTAAAAAGCGCGTTTTAAGCATCGATTGAACTTGTTTCTATTATTACGTCGTTTACACACGTTTAGACACCATTTCAAACGAAAAAACAATTTCATGAGGAAGAGATGCTATCAATGGTGCGATTTTTAAGCACACGAGCGTCTCTTCTCTTGTGCCAGTTACGACTTATTTCAACACAAAAAAATTTTCATAAAAACTTTGTAAACTTTTTTCACAGAAAAACAGATGGGTTCAGAACCACAGAAATCTTTTTACTGCCGGACTCTACAATACGATGAGAAATCAGAGGAGTACTATTCTTCTTTAGTATGAGATACTTGCATTAGAGAAAAAAAGAACAAAAGATTAATCTTTTTAGGTATTGTGCGAGAAAATATTTTTACCTCACACGGAGAATCTTGATCATGGTCTTTTGAATGATATTCCTTTTCGTATGGATGATGTATTAACAAAATATTTGAAACAATGTTCGTTACCTGGTCGATATAAAAAGACATTAATTCCAAATGGTGCACCAATACGTTTAATGAGATTAATGCAAGCCATGTTTGAACAGGAAACAAGAAATATTTCTCATTAAGAGAATGATTGTATATATACATTTGTAAATTGTATTATTTTCAGAAGTAATTTTGTTTTTTGTTGTTGTTTTTTTATTTTATTAACTAATTTTGCTTAAAGCATCATTCCACGCGTTACTGGTATTTTAGTACGGTAGTTTTTTTTGCTCAGTTTTTGATAGATCTTTTTGTACTTTATTTAAATTGATAAAAAACATACAGTTTTCTGTATCGTTCTCTTCTTTGTTTTCTCAAATTGAGATGAAAGTGTTTCTCAGGAATTATAAATAAACTGTAGTTATTTTATGTGACAAAGTTCAATTTATACTCTGATAATTGTGTTGAACATAATGTGAAATATATTATAACATCTTGCACTCATTTTTGCTTTTCTATTTTGATTTTAGATACAAATATGATATTTTTTGTTTAGTATGAAAGATACAGTTGTTTTATAAACATTTTACTTTCGTTTGTATGTTGAAACAAATTGAAATGTTTTTGTGTTCAATTCTGTGAGAATGATATTCTCATTTTTTTTCTGTTCAATCGATCTTAAGTGTTGCTTGAATTACTTAGAGAAGTGGATTGAAACAGCATTTAATGTAGGAATAAATGTAAAACTTTCATACACTTTACACAATGAAAATAATCAATTAATTAATTATGATTCGTTAAAAATGTTTTATTGTGGAAATCGCTTATCGAAAAATGATTCAATTATGTATCTCACAAGAAAAATAATAAATGTTTAATTTTTGTGATTATAAATAGAAATTTGACATAGGAGTTAGAATTGAGACGTTTACTTGAAGAAGTGAATGAAACTGACGATATGGGCTAAATAAATTAAACGTATAAAAATAAGAATGCCGTTCGAATTTTTATAAATTCTACATGAAAATGAAATTTAAAAGTTATTGAAAACATGTAAGAATAATAAATCGATTAGAATCGACAACAACGAACGTGAACAACACGATTTATTCAGAATATTAAAATCATTAGTTACAAAATAGTGAAGAGTACAAATAGATGAAAATGACGAAGAGACTAGGTAAGTCAGTTTATAGTGTTACGGTACTTTTATTACGCTTTTTTTTGTAGTAGAATAAAGTCAGACTATTGTTGATTTGGCATCTAAACATAATATATAGATACAGAAGATTTTAAGATTTTGTATTAAAGAAATATAAAAAATACGATAAAAAGTCTAAATTTATTGGTCATATGTTAAGATTTGTGAGTGACAGCAGTCGAATTAATGACAAACATGATAAGATTTGATTCTTCTAAAAATTGATGTCTATGATTTTGTGGACAAAATTCTCGTATTGAAAAGGTGAACGAAAAGGAATATATATGTTGGAATTGACTCTAAAATTCTGAAGTCAACTAGTTCAGATTGAAATGTAGAAATATAAAATAGACTGGCACGAAGTATATCCTAGTTTACCATTATGAGTGTACTGGTGATTAAGGTTATATCACGACTATGAATAAAATCTGTCCTTAACTTCACACTGGAATCATTTCACAACTAAGTAAACATTTTGTTAGTAGATTTATACAAATTTTAAATCAATCGACACTTGTAAATGTACTGGTAATTGCAACACAAATCGGTGTCCGTGTAAGAAAAAGAACCGAAAATGCTATACAAAATGTCATAGTGACAAAGATTCAAAATGTAAAAACTATTAAGTGACTATTCTCTAGCGTTTTACTACTATTGTTAGTTACGGTTGTTTATGTGTGTAAAGTTCTCTTTGATTAAAAATAGGATATACTTCGTGCCAGTCAATTTTATATTTCTACATTTTAATCTGAACTAGTTGACTTCAGAATTCAAGTCAACTCCAACATATAGATATAACGGGCGGGGCAGAAGAAACCGATCTCTCAACATTTTGAAGTTGGTCCGCGATCCTTACATTCTAAAATTCAGCTAATTTTTGCAGAAGATTCACCATTTAACTGTCTATAAAATGGTACAGAAGATGATCCTGAGACTGGAGATATCGTCTTAATTGAACAACAACTTCAAAAATTTAACTCGAAAAAGTGTATTTCGTCAATATAAAGTTGAATGTATGCGTTGTGCCCACATCAAATAGGTCAAAATATAGCTCTTGGAATTCTCTATCGAATGGCTGTAATGCGAATTTTCTGTCGGTATTTCCATGTTTTCAATGGTGCTTTTTGCAAAAGTTCTGTGACTGTTTTTTCAGCTTTTTCAACGTGCATTATGGAGCTGTTTGTAAATGTACAGTGCTCGCTCAAAAATCAATCAGGCTCATTCTTGCGTCATTTTGAAGAGAAACGTTTTATCTATTTGATTCGCATGCGAAACGTCTGATGCCACTTCCCTGAAAATACTTGAAACGCCGAAACTACCCTTTGTTCGTTTTTGGCTGCCAAATATTAACTAGACATTTTTACCACATCGAACAGATGGGATGAAATGAATCTTGTCCCAACTGATAAAGTAATTGTGCCAAGAAAGGATCTGAGATCTTTTTTCTGTCACTTTGGACATCGGTTTCAAAATTCAAAATCGTCGTCGGAAATTTATTTTATTGTTTGAAAGTTTTAGGGCATTTCAATTTCTGTTCAATTAAGACGGCATCTCAAGTCTCAATAACATCTTTTATATACCATTTTGTAGATAATGAAATGGTGAATCTTTTGCAAAAAAACAGCTGAATTTTAGTATGTGAGGATCACGACCAAACTTCAGAATGTTGAGAGATCGGTTTCTTCTTGTCCACCCGTTATAAAATATCAAATCAATATGATATTTAACACATCTGACTCGACTTCACTACAATTTTTTGAGTCGTTAAGATATTGTATCAATGTAAAACTGGGAAAAAAGTGTTGAAAATACGTATATCTCTTATTAACATATTATTATTCTAACTTTCATCAACCTTAAATAGAAATTCTTTCTTTTCTATATTTATAACGACTGTTTTTTTCATCTCCTGTTCGTCTTTACATCAGAATTTCTGTGTATATATGTTTAAAGAAAACTTTTTTATATCCATTTATTTCAAAAAAAATAATATCTAATATGAAAAATAAAGCATCTATTTTTTATTATTATTTGCATTGAACATCCAGTTATTATAAACTACTGCTGATTGTTTACTAGTTATAGATAATATATTTTACTAATAGAAACGAACAAAATGATTTATACTTATCAAGAATATTCACATTGATATATCAAATAGATATTTATAAAAACATAATTGTCAGATTGAAAACATTTTAAAGAATATGTGCGTTTGGAGTGTTCAAATATGATAACTCAGTGGTACCTATGCATATTTTATGTAGCTTTATCGTTGCTTTTCCTTCGAACATCTCTTATCAACTTGCTTCTATTATATATATTTTTTTAGATAGATTATTTTACTTTGAAATGTCTGACGAAGGCAATACGTCCATAATCACAGCCGGAAGACAGGGGACATTGGTCAGTGGTGGCGGTGAACAATATGAAATTGAACGTATTGTTGATAAACGTTTTCGTAATGGACGACTAGAATATTTAATTAAATGGAGAGATTATCCTGAATCACAGAATACATGGGAACCAGGTAATTATGATAAATGAAAAAAAATCTATATTAAAGGATGAATAGAAAAATAAATTTTAGCTTCAAACATTGAACCAGATGAAGAAAGAGAATTATTATCAGAATATGAAGCAACAACAAAACCAACTGGATCATTAAAACCATCACCTAGTCAAAAATTTCCACCCTATGGATCTGTCAAAGATTTTCGTTTAAAACGTAAAAATGTATGTGATGTTTATTTATAAACAAATGTTCATCTTGTTAATATTAACTATTTTTCTTATAGGATGATGTACTTGGCGGCAAGAAAATTGTTGGTGAAAAACCAAGTGGATTCGATCGCGGCTATGAACCAGGTAGATTAAAAAAGGATGATTATTTAAATGCATTTACTTTTATTATATTTTAGAGAAAATTTTGGGTGCAACTGATAGTACCGGTGAATTAATGCTTTTAGTAAAATGGCGTGGCTCTGATGAAGCTGATTTAGTTCCATCTAGGATAGCTAATGTAAAATGTCCAGATTTAGTAATAGAATTTTATGAACAACATTCATTTTGGATTAAATTACCAAGAAAAATGCAGACACGATAAATTAAATGCATGATTTAACATTTGTTTATTCTTGATTACTGATGTATAATTTTGATTTGTTTTTCTATAACTGTCTATTATTTGTATCTCAATAGTTTAGATGCATATAATGTGTGCCTACTATTTTCTGTATATTAAATGTTTTATAGAAAATAAAAGTTTTCGACTAGTCATATATGTTTTCTGTTTTTGTGATGATCACTTATTTTTATTGAAAATACTTTGAACTAGTAACTAAAAGAGATACGATACTCTACAAAAGTATCTCCAACACTCCTGTAACTCAAGGATCATAATGGTTAAGAACCTCTACTTTTGTGCGGTTGCTATAGCTCTCATTAAATGCTGATCATCCAGCAAACTTACGAGGGAACCTCCTGAGGTGCTAAAAATCTTTTCGAATGGAACTATTTTAAAAATATAGACCCTCATGGGCTATGAAGAATCCCAACTTGGTTCGGGTGGAATCAGCTTTGTTGTTGAGATATCGAATTTTTACTCGAATTTTCCCCATGGGATCTGAATTTCAAGCAAAAACGGAGTTTTGAATTTTATCTTGTAACGTATCACATATTGTAGCCCAGACCAATTGTAGTCCGATGAAAAAAGGCCGGTCTGAAAACCTCTTTCCGCAGCGGTGAAAGAACTTTTTCCATATGGGTACCAAAGGTAAAACATGGAGCTTTGTTTTGAAAAAGTTTTGAAAAAGTTCTTTCACCGCTGCGGAAAGAGGTTTTCAGCTCGGCCTTTTTTCATCGGACTACAATT